CACGAAACAAAATTACAAAATAAAAAGTTGCAATAATTTTTCGTTTAAGAAATACAGCAGTACCCAACTGACCGGCCTCATCAATGTGATTCTGTTCAAACCCCCTCGGATGGTTAACCAGGTAGTTGTAGCCAACAGATAGCTACTTTATTTTACTCAAGAGGTCAATAATCTAGCTTTAATATGAACTACTTTGGTAACAAACCTGTCTTGGGTTACGTATTGAACACCTTTCTACGTCTTTCCTCGTTCTTCTTTCTTTCTGTTATATTTTGAAATCCAAAGATTTTCCACACTGCTGCTTATTTACAAATTTTTTGTTCATTTGTTGAATTTATTACTGTGTCAAATGATGTACGTGTTGCACTAAAGCTCCGGTGCCAGCAAACTGCTGCTGACAGACGGGGACCTGTTGAATCAAAAATGGACCTGTGGACCAAACCATTTCTTGCAATTTCATGAAGGGAGGGTAGGTTGGTCCATATATATTCATGCATTGTTTCGCTGGTTACTGCTGAAAGATCATGGAGAGCATAAAGGTAATTTATGTTACAGCTCGATTTTCTTTTAATATTAGAAATATATAGCGGGACATACTGTATGTTTTGTTCTTTTATATTAGAAATATACAGCGGGAAATATGTTTTGTTCTTTTTGCGGCCCTCGTCAGTCAAGGGCCCTTAGAATCATCTTAAATTTTTCACCCATTAGGTTCACAAGTGAAAAAATCTCTTTCCCCTGTCTCACTGCCTTACTCCACCTCTTAGCTACTGTGAGCTCAAAACGCTGTTTGAAAATTATTTCCCTTATGATGTCATAAGTGGAAATAAGATATCCAGTGTGGTCTGAGCATGGAATAACACATTAGATTTGTTATTCAACGCTCCTAGGATATCTTTACGAATTTCGACCAGTTGTCATTGTTTGTGGGTTGTGGGGGCGTGTGGAATACATAAACAGTTTGTCCAGAGGAGGGCTGAATGAGGAGATTTTTGTTAAAGGGCTGTCTGCCTAATATGAGAGGAGTTTTCCTGCACAAACATTAAAAACATGCTCTGGGGGCCTCATTGTTATATTTTTTTTTACCTTCAAATGTAAAATAATATGGGTCCGTTAAACTGCAGATCAAGTTGCTTATTAGACATGTTCGCCAATGACACTGTGACTGCTGGTCTGGTGAGAGAGAATCAGAGAACAGAGGGTGGAAAAAAGGATTCTGTTGACTGGTACTGGTGGAACCACCTCAAGGTTGGGAAAACTAAGGAGCTGGAGGTGGATTTCCATACCAACAGAACGTCCACACTGACTCTGATGAAAAT